GTCCCGGAGGTTTCGCCGGCCGCGGAACAATGGCTCGAGGCCGACCCCGCCGGGAGGCAGGAAGCCTGAGATTCGTCTCAAGGGGGCTCAGTGCTGGGGGAAAAGGGAAGCTTCTTCGTCTTGATTTGGGCCTACGGGGAACTCGGGGCCTAAATGACCTCCAGGCCCCCTTGAACGCAGACCTGGGCCCCCAGGCTCAGCGACCGCAGTGGAGGAGCCTCTCTCAAGGACAGCCTGAGGCCAGAGCCGCTCAGGAGCCCGGGCCCCTCTGCCGCAGAATCGGGACTGGCGAGCCCCAAGCTGCCTGCGAGCCAGGGAACCGGAGAAGGGAGGGAAAAGGCTTCTCTGGACTAGGAACCCTAGGTACACAGTCTCCCCCTGAGGCCTCAGGCAGGCCCTGGAGATGAGCTGGTGCTGACAGGGCAATGGCTTGGGCTGAGCTGATCCAGGCCAGATGGAGAGGCACCAGGCCTGGGGACAGAAGTGGGACATGGTGGAGGCCTTGGCATCTGGAATAACCTAAGGAAAACAGCCCATGGCAGGCATTTTCTTACACTCAGACTGGCTCTGCCTCAGGCTCAGAATTAGTTCATTAGGTGGTTGTTGACACGCACAATATTCACACAATCACACGCCTGTCTACACTTGTATTCTACACACACACACACACACACACAAAACCTCTTCTTCATGAGACAATATGGTTACACATCAAGTACACTCACTCATGTGGCCTCACACACAATCACACACTCCCAAACCCATAGGACAGGACTGAGAGTAGGTTCAGAAAGATCGGGTGACCTTTCCCCACTTCCCCCACCTTCCTATTGCAAGGAGATCGGGCACTCAGATCACAGACACTCGCAGCTCCACACCGGTGCTCCTGCCACACTCAGGCAGTTGTGGCTTTCAGCACTGTCCATAAGCACCGGTCTGCCTCCTGGCCTCATCCAGGCCCCCCCTCATCCGTGTCAGTTGGGACTGTTAAGGGAGAGCAGGTCACAAACTGGGGGACCCATGGAGGTGCATTGTGCAAAGCCAGGGAGACTCACATGTTTTCTCTTCCACTACACTGAATTTTTGTGTTTTCAAAAAGTTCACCAGTGAGGCTTCTGAGGAGGCAAGGAGCCATCCTTCTACCTTCTTGTTTGGAAGGTGCCTTCAGGTCCAGAGGGAAAGGGTAAGGGCTGGCCCTCTCTGAGCATCCTCTCTGAGCCTTACTGGGCCCTCACATGCCAGCGAGGCCCTTCCTCTACTTGCCTTAGCCATCGGGGCTACCCACAGTGTGACCTGAGAGCAAGTAATTACACCCCAGTCTTCATCTGCATCATGGGGAGATAACAGTAAGGCCTCATTGGGTGGCAAATGTCCTCTGAGGGAGAGAGCAGGAGTCTAGCCTACCTACCTTCTTCCACATTTCCCTCATCGGCCTCTGTGCTGTTGGGAACCTCTGAGCACCCAATTCTGAGGTCAGGACGGGCTCCTGCCTTTGCTGTGGGCAAAGCCATAAGCTGCAGGTTGGGACAAAGGGCAGCCTGGAATCACGGACTGGACCCCACTCCCTGGCTGCCCGAGATGGAGGCACTGCTCAGGGCAACGCTGCAAACAGCCAACATTCAGCAGCTGAGTTTCCCTGCCTAGGAGATTTCTGTCCTTGTACAAAAGAGCTTAGGTACAAGATCAGGGACCTGAGGCACCAGAGGTGAGGCTCTGCCCTTTACAGGGGCGGCTGGGAGCACCTCTGGAGTGGACTCTCTAGACTGCCAGCAAGGAGGGAAACCGAGGCATGTGCTGACGGCGCTTCTTTCCTTCACTTGTCAGAATGTATATTCAAAAGGGGAGAAGTGAGGTTCAAGGAAAAAGCCCTGGGTTGTTCCCAGGAGCTTGGGAAAGTGGGGGCACCCAGAGCCCCGGCGCTGAGTGGGCGCAGCCTTGGCTGACCTCGGGCCTGACCCCAGGTACCTTCGACCCCGCAACCACCTTCCCAGCTCCGCTGGTCCCGGGCCGAAGCCAGTTCCCGGGTCTGTCACTACACGGAGCTTGGGGCGAGGCTCCCGGGTCCCCTCCCGGACCTCAGCGCCGGAGCCACTCCCCGCGTTCAAGGGGCCCTCCGCGCGCGGGGCGCGGGCCTGGGGACGCGC